GAGTCTCATTATGTTGCCCTCAGTAGAGTGCAGTGGCATCACAACTCACAGCAACCTCAAACTCTTGGGCTTAAGCGATTCTCTAGCCTCAGCCTCCCAAGTAGCTGGGACTACAGGTGCCCACCACAACAGCTGGCTATTTTTAGAAATGGGGTCTCGCTCTGGCTCAGGCTGGTCTCGAACTCATGAGCTCAGGCAATCCACCCGCCTCGGCCTCCCAAGTGCTAGGATTACAGGCGTGAATCATCATGTCTGGCTGCAGGGGAGGAACTTTATCCTGTGGGCATATGAACAAGAGCCCAATTGGAGCAAGACTCTGTGATGGCCTTTGTGCTGAATAGATTGGGGCTGGGGAGATGGAGGTTGAGACTATCTTGGGTTACAAGTGGAGCTGGAGACAGTGGGACAGGGACTGAGAGCCTGAAGGCTCACTTTGAATGTAGCATGTACCATGTACAGGTAAAATGGCTTAAGAGGTACGTGGAGGGTGTGGGATCTGGGGCTTAGGCGCTTGAGTTCCTCATGGTGGGGGTAGGGGTGCTTTCCTGACCAATTCTTTTTTTTTTTCTTTTAAGAGACAGAGTCTCACCCAAAACAAACAAACAAACAAACAAACAAAAAAAGAGACAGAGTCTCACTCTGGCACCTTTGGTAGAGTGCTATGGTGTCACAGCTCACAGCAACCTCCAGCTCTTGGGCTTAGGTGATTCTCTTGCCTCAGCCTCCCGAGTAGCTGGGACTACAGGCGCCTGCCACAGTGCCTGGCTATTTTTTGTTGCAGTTTGGCCAGGGCCGGGTTCGAACCCACCACCGTCTGTATGTGGGGCCAGTGCCCTACTCACTGAGCCACAGGCACCACCCATCCTGACCCATTCTTTTCCTTTTCTTGCTTTTCCTAAAGGCTCAGCTCTTGGAACTCCGAACAAACAACTACCAGCTTTCAGATGAACTACGGAAGAATGGTGTTGGTGAGTCAGGAGGGTCTCATTAGATGGGGTTGGGGGTGACTTTAGGGGATAGAAGCCAGAGTTTTCCCTCAGAGGCCTGGTAGGAAGACATTTCAGCCCTTGCTACTGCCTGAAGCTGTGATTCCTTGCTTTCCCCACACCAGAACTTGCCAGTCTTCGACAGAAGGTCGCCTACCTGGATAAGGAGTTCAACAAAGCTCAGAAGGTACCTCCCTCCACCCACCCACACTTCCTTCTACTACCCATCTGACTCATTCATCTATCCAGTGAGCACCCAGAGTAGACCAGACCTGATGGTGCATGCTATTTTTATGTAGTCATTTAAAGAATTCTCATGGAAGTCTCTAGTTTGCTAATTTTACCTAATGCTGCTTAATTTATTGATTCATTTTTTTTTTTTT